ATCAGCATCTTTGATAACTGATGAGTAGCCAGACTATAGAGTGTTCATTGGGTAAGTCTCACTGGTGCCATCCTGTGGCTCTTTTACGTAAGTCATCATAGACAGGTGCTCATACACTATTACTTGAGAACAGCAGTATATTTTTGGGAAAAGTAGACATTGGTTTCAAAATTCAAATGTACAAATTTTAATAGCAAATTTGTAGTGATTCTCAGTAGGTCATTTTTTAAAAAGCATTTGCCTAAAAGGTTTAAGTGTCCGGAATAATATGAACTCATAAACATTAGGAAATAAGTTAACACCCCCACCCAAATATGTAATTCATAATTTACTGTGTCTTACCTTAGGGATAAAACATAAAAGTGCATGTTCCTGAGAGCGGTCATATATTGTCTTAAGTTCATGGGTAAGTGGGATGGTATGAGAGCAGAAGGACTTTGAGTACTGGACAGTAGTAATGGGGGAACGACTTTTAGGAAAAATCAGGACAAGTTTTATGTAACTGTTAAGTTCAATTAACATATTTATTCTTCCTTTTTTTTGCGGCTTAACATCCTTATTTATTTAAGTGGAATGGTTTTGTTACTATTTTTAGTTCTCTGCTGTAGCCTTTCAATTATGTTTATGATATTTTGATGGGGTTAGTCATGTGCAGGTTGGTTTTAGCAAGTAAATATCCTTGTAGACTCACAGTAACTTGTGTGACTTGCACAGAAGCCAGCACGAGTAGCAACTTTATGAATCATGTTTTCTATTGATTTATACTATGAACTTAAAAAAAAATTGCCCAGGGCATTTGGGGACATTTTCACATTTAAATTTAGGGGAGTCTGTCATCAAGTCTGTCATCGAGAGGAAAGAGTTAAATAGGTTTTCTCTGAAGCTCTTAGGTCTTGGAATAATTGATGAAATCTTCTCAACGGATTGAGAGATGGATCTTTACCCAACAGGGGGCCAACGTTTTCTAGCTTCTTGATGAATTTCTCTGAAGTCTAATGATTCCTTCTGAACACGAGGCACGTTGAGGGGCTTGGAGAAACCCTGATTAGTTTTCCCAGAGTACACTGAATTGAAAGGCTAAGTATTTGGAAATCCAAATGTGGTTTAGTAAGTCTCATGGTGTAGCTTTCTGAGCATGTGTAGTGGTAAAACCAAGGCCTTGGCAATGAAGTGTCTTGTAACATGGGGAAATTTGTCTGTTAAGATGTTAATTTGTCTGGAAAGCATATATAAACCCATGTAGATTCCTAGCTCGCTTTGCCTGGCAAAGTAACAGGTGTAGACAGGCTGAAGAACTTGATTTAGGCTAATAGAGTGAGTCTCTTTCATAAAGGTGAAAATAGGCCTGGTAGAGCATAAAAGAAACTGAAGGTCTTTTTGTCTTCTTGCCTCTGAGATTTTTTTTTTCTCTCCTCTCCTTACAAAGCAAAGCATCTGGGATATGGCAGATGTCATTCAGAATATAAATCCATATGTTAAGTCCAGAGGGTAACTCCTGGCGGTCTGTAAGAAAAGATAAGCTGCACCTTTAGGAGTAGAATGGTATACTTTCTAATGACATTTCTGAAATAGAGGGAAAGTGAAACACAGGAATGCCTCATTTTATTGCACTTTGCCGAAGTTGCGCTTTTGACGGATTGAAGGTTTGTGACAACTGTGCACTGGCCGAGTCTATGGGTGCCATTTTCCAAAAGTATTTGCTGATTTCTTATCCCTGTGTCACATTTTGGTAATTCTCACAATATTTCAAACCTTTTCATTAGTATTGAATTCATTGTGGTGATCTCTGATTAGTGATCTTTGATGTTACTATTGTAGTTGTTCGGGGGCACCACAAACTGCACCCATATAAGACTGTGAACTTCATTGATAAATGTTGGGTGTGTTCTGACTGCTCCCCAACTGACTATTCCCCCCTCTCACCCTCTCGTCAGACATCCCTGTTTCCTAAGATACAGCAGTATTGAAATCAGGCCAAATTAATAACCCTGTAATGGCCTCTAAGTGTTCAAGTGAAAGGAAGAGTTGTGAGTCTCTCACTGTAAATCAGAAGGTGGAAATTATGAAGCTTAGTGAGGACAGCATGTTGGAAGCAGAGACAGGCCACATGCTAGGCATCTTGCACCAAGCAACCAAGTTGTGAATGCAAAGGGAAAGTTCTTGAAGGGAAGTAAAAGTGCTACTCCAGTGAATACACTGATGATAAGAAAGCGAAACAGCCTTATTGCTGACGTGGAGCAGGTTGTAGTGGTCTGGATAGAAGATCCAGCCAGCTACAACATTCCTTTAAGTGAAAGTGTAGTCCAGAACAAGGCCCTACCTCTCTTCAGTTCTGGGAAGGCTGAGAGAGGTGCAGAAGCTGCAGAAGAAAGGTTTGAAGCGAGCAGTGGTTGGGTCATGAGGTTTAAGGAAAGAAGTCATCTCAGTAACAGAAAAGTGCAAGGTGAATTAGCAAGGGCTGGTGTAGAAGCTGCAGCAAGGTGTCCAGAAGATCTAGCTCAGATCATCAGTGAAGGTGCTGCACTAAACAGCAGATTTTCCATGTAGATGAAACAGCCTTCTGTTGGAAGAAGATGCCATTTAGGACTTTCATAACTAGAGAGGAGAAGTCAATTCCTGGTTTCAAAGCTTCAAAGGATGGGCTGACTCTCTTGTTAGGAGTTAATGCCGCTGGTGACTTTAGGTTGAAGCCAGTGCTCATTTGCTATTCTGAATTATGCTTAATGTGCTCTGCCTGTGCTCTATAAATAGAACAACAGAGTCTGGATGACAGCCTGTCAGTCTCCATGGTTTACTGAATATTTTAAGCCCAGTGTTGAGACCTATTGCTTAGAAGAAAAGATTCCTTTCAAAACATGACTGCTCACTGACAGTGCACCTGGTCACCCAAGAGCTCTGATGGAGGTGTACAGTGAGACTAGTGTTGTTTTCATGTCTACTTATACATCCATTCTATAGCCCATGGATTAAGGAGTAATTCTGACTTTCAAGTATTATTTAAGAACCAAATTGTGTAAGGCTGCAGTGAATAGTAATTCCTATGATGGATCTGGGCAGAGTAAATTGAAAACCTTCTGGAAAATAATTACTTTTGTGATTCATGGGAAAGGGTCCAAATGTCAAGATTCACAGGAATTTGGAAGAAGATGATTCCAACCCTCATGGGTTTGAAGACCCCTTTGAGGGGTCTGAGACTTCCTCCTGAGTGGAGGAAGTAACTGCAGATGTGGTGGAAATCACAAGAGAACTAGAATTAGAAGTAGAGTCTGAAGATGGAACTGAATTGCTGCAATCTGATGATAAAACTTTAGTGGGTGAGGAGTTGCTTCTTATGAATGAGAAAAGAAGTTAGTTTCTTGAGCAGCTTGGCTGTGGTTTTTCCCGCTTTCCATTCTGTCTTATATAAATTAATAGTCATTTTCCTGTCTTTCCAGTCTGGAGTCCTCTGTCTAAATTTCATGATTCTCTGTGATAACACCTTACCCATGCCACCATATCTTTACTCCCAAACACAACTTTTAGCCATTGTTATTGGTCTGTGAACAGGCTGTCACCATTCCCAGATTGAGCTTTGTTCTTATTATACCCAATATTTGAAATGTCTTTCATCTCCTTGACTTGTAGTTAATTTCTGCTCATCTGTCTGGGCCAGTAGTCTTGTTGAAACCTTTCCTGGCTGGCCTAGTCTTCTCATAGTCACAGAGTTGGAGCCAGAACCCAGTCTCCTGCCTTGTTCTGCACTGTCATGTCCTCTGTTTGGTGCTACTGCTCAGATCCATTGAATGATGACTGTCACACCAAGCTGGCTGGTTCTTTCCTCCTTGTCAGCGATGGCTTTCTAACCTGGCGGTTAAGTTAATCAGAGAAGACCACATCATCACACCAGCTGTACTATAAAACATCGTAAGATAGTTGGCAGGTGTCTGGCACAGAGTCCGTGTCCATAAACAGTTGTCCATGGTTTTCCAACTCCAAATCCAGTGACGCCCATATCACAGAACCAGAATTGAGAATTCCTTTTTTCAGGGGCAGTGCTGTGTATCACGAGCCCCTCATGTTCCCATGAATCTCCACTCTTGGCCGTCCAGTAAAGGCCTCAGTAGATGGCCTATGGGTTCGGTTGTGTTACCACCGTGCTGTGAAAGTTTTATAGTAGACTCACTTGGAGCACTAGTAAATTAAAAATGAAACGGGTGGGAAACTCTTGGATATTTAAACTGCCTCTTTCTTTGATTTCTTGATTCAAGCCAAGAGTACATACCTCACACAGCTTTGATAGGTGGATTGCTGAGGAAAACTGTGTGGTCCCAGTCTGGCAGGTTGAGAGTTCCTTGAACTAGTTCACGAAATGCTTCATACTGGGAACCTGGAGAAATGCTTAGTTTCTGAAAAACCTTTTGATAACGCTTCCCCTAAGAGTTTAAGAAAAATGCCAACAGAGTAAAAAGTATTGCTTTTTTTCATAGATTTAAGCGTATTTAAACAATAGCCGAAAAGAGTACAAGGGAAAAGCTGTTGTTTGTTCCCCAGAGAGGTCAGTCATTGGTTGACAGTTTTATTATGGCAAATGATATTTTCAGTGCTAACAGAACTCTTTGGAGGAGAGCTTAGAACAGCAGTTGATGGGGGTGGGAGGGGGAAGTATAGCTCAGTGGTGGTAGAGTGCATGCTTAGTGTGCACAAAGTCCTGGGTTCAGTCCCAAGTACTGCCGTTAAAATAAATTAAGTAAATAAATAAATAAACCTAATTGCCTCTCCTCCTCCCAAAAAGAAAAGCAATTGACAGACATGAAGTTAAAGATATTTTGAAAAGTGAAACATTTGTTAGGTTTGTAAATGAATGGAGGTGAATTTAAAAACATGGGTGCCTGTTGCAATTTTAACCTATAGTTTCACTGTAATTTTTAGAAAGGAGTTTAGTTGAGGTATGTCTTGGTCTGTTCAGGCTGCTCTAACAGAAATACCGTAGAATATGTAGCTTATAAAAAAACAGAAATTCAGTGCTTGCTTCAACAGCACATATACTAAAATTGGAACAATATGGAGAAGATTAGCACGGCTGCTGTAAAAGGATGACATGCAAATCTGTGGAGCATTCTGTGAAAACAAACAAACAAAATAGATAAAACCCAGAAATTTGTTTCTCACAGTTCTGGAAGCTGGGAAGTCCATGATCAAGGTGCCAACAGATTTGATGTTTGATAAGGACCAGCCTCTTCATTGATGGCTGTCTTTTCACTGACACTTCACAGAGCAAAGGGGACGGGGATCTTTCTGGAGTCTCTTTTATAAGGGCACTAATCCCACCCGTGAGGGCTCCATCCTCATGACCTGGTCACTTCCTGAGGGCCCCACCTCCAAATACCATTATTTTGGGGATTAAATTTCAACATACATACGAATTGAGGCGGGGGTGGGAGCACAAACATACAGACTTAGCAAGGCATTTTATATATATATATATATATGATATATATTGGCATTTTATATATACACACACACACACACACACACAGTAAAGTGTTCCATTCTTAAATGTATAGTTTAGTTTTTATATACCTCCATAAGTGAGTTTCAGTGTAATTTGGTGTACACATTTGTATTAGTGAAGTGTTAAATATTTACATTTTAGGGTTTGGGAAGGAAAAAAAAATAACTCTTAGTCTACCATTTTATACTTGGGTAGCAGTTTGCTATCACAAGCTTTTCATATTGGTTTCTGTATGTGGTTTATTGCTACAAAGTAAATTACTGCAAAACTTAATAACCTAAAATATCAACAAAACACATGTTAAATCTCACAGTTGCTGTGGGTCAGAAATTTGGGAGTGGTTTAGCTGTGTGGTTCTGGATTGGGGGTTTCTCAAGAGGTTGCAGTCAAGTTGTCAGTCCAGGCTGCAGTCACCTGAAGGTTTGACTGGGGCTGGAGTTCCACTTCCAAAATGTATTCCCCCCATGTTTGGCAAGTTAGAGGGAGAGAGCATAGCGGGGTGGAGATTTCATATAAGGATTGGCTCACGTGAGTTTGGAGACTGAGAAGTCCAACACCTGTAGTTGGCAAGCTGGAGACCCCAGGAGAGCGTGTGATGTAGTTCCAAGTCTAAGTGTGAAGCCAGGGGAAGAGCGGCGTTCCAGCTCAAAGACGGTCAGACAGAAGGAGAATTCTTTCCGTCTCAGCCTTGTATTCTTTTCAGGGCTTCAGCAGATTGGATGAGGCCCGTCCACCTTGGGGAGGGATAGATGTTTTACTGGGTCTACCAATTCAAGCGTTAATGCCGACTATAAACACCCTCGCAAGAGACACTCGGAGGTAATGTTTAACCAGATCGAGGCACCTCGTGACCCAGTCAAGTTGACACATAAAACTAACCATCAAATATCTGAACCTTGATGAGACTCAGATGAACATTTCTGGTAAGAGAGCTGCACAAGTGATGCTGTATATTTCATATCATATCTTGAGGCACAAAACAAGGCTTGAGTTGGATTTTTGATAAGGATGACCTAGCATTCAAATGAAATACTTCCGACAGTGAAAAGGGGCACTAAAAAAACCTTAAAATGGTATAATTGAAAAAGGTTGAATGATTGGCAAATTGTTTTAATTTTTTTGTGAGCCTTCTATTCAAGAGATAGTAACTGTTCAAAAACTTGTAAAAAAAATTCACTCTGAAAGATATATTCAAGTGCATCAAAATAAAAAATGTATTCATATTATTTCAGCACTGTAAAACAATGTAAGTTGAATTATTACTTAGCTTTAGTTTGTTAGCTGTATCAATCTCTGATATGTCATCGGAGGTATTTGAAGAATAATTTTTTCAATTTCTTAAAGTACTAAAATGTTCAGCAGTTGTTTTTTATGTTGCATTTTACGTTTCTTAAATTTTTAATTCTTGACACCTTCAACTGATTTTTCTTTGTGGAACATATTTTTAATTGAGAAAGTATTTATAGGTGCTGAAGGTACTTGGTAAACTTAGAACACATTCTGTAGTGGAGAGTATTCTCAATTTTCATATTTTTTAATATTGAAATGTGTAAATATTTGGCACAAATAGCTTCATAGTTAATGCATTTTGCTCCATTCTGAGGCAAAATAATATATATTTTTATAAGACAGAACTTGTCAAATAAGATGTTTCAGTTTTTATTCTTTTGAATGTTCTGCTAGATTTATATACTGTAAAAAAGTCACAGGCCTTCTCAGTTTCATTTCTGTGATACTGTGATTTATAATAAGAAATATATGCTTGGTGTTCATCCACTCTTCTAGGCATAGAGCTCCTGAAACCCTTTGGATTTCCTAAGCGATGAGAGCTGTAAGGGTGTATTGTTATGTTAATGAGGTGACTTTTGGACCTCACCTAAGGATGGCGACTGGTTGCCTGGAGAACCAACCACATGATTAGCGGGTTGGAACTTTCACTCCCACCTCTCAGTCAACCTCTGGGTTAGGGAGAGGGTCCAGAGGTTGAGTTTAATCGCCTATGGCCAGTGATTAAATCAATCATGCCTTTGTTTTGAGGCCTCCATAAAAAGCGAAAAGACTGGGGTTTGGAGAGCTTCCCTGTTGGTGATCACATGGAGACTCAGGGAGGGGCTCGCTTGGATAGGACACGGAAGCTCCTCGCCTTTTCCCCATATATTTCCCTTTGCGTCCCCTTCATCTGACTGTTTCTGAGTTCTAGCCTTTCACAGTAAACTGATAGCCTAGTAAGTAAAATGTTTCTGAGTCCTGTGAACTGCTCTAGCAAATTAATCGAATCCAAGGAGTGGGTCGTTGGACCCTCCAGTGGTAGGTTAGAGCACACGTGATAACGTGGCCTTGTAACCAGGGTCTAAAGGAGGGTGCGGCAGGGGGTTGGGCCGTCTGTGGGACTGAGCCGTTAACCTGGGGAATCTGATAGTATCATCCCTGGGTAGATAGTGTCAGAATCGAGTTGAATTGTGGGACACCCAGCTGGTGTCTGGAGCATTGCTTGGTGGTGTAGGAAACCCTTTTCCCACATTGGAATTGGGTGTAGAGCCTTTAATTTCTTTCCAGGATGAAATGTAAGTGTATGCAGTTTAAAATAGGAGCTTGTGGTAGCCAGTCTCCAGGATGGACCAGGTCTCGGGTTGGGTGTCTTGATGTCCTCTGCTGCATGGAATCAGGTCCTCCCTGAGACTCATGTTAACCAACAGAACATGGCAGAGGTGGTGATAGCTGCTTTTATGGCTTGGGGAGCCCGGAGCTGCTTTCAGGAGTTCAGCTACCCTGCTGGAGAAGGCACGTGGAGAGGGGGATGTTCTGGGCCTACACAGAGAGAGAGAGAAGGACGCCTCGTGTCCCAGCAGAGCCCAGTCTCCTGCCGCTCCGCCTAAGGCACCCACCACGTGAGTGAAGCCACCTCACCGGTTCCAGCCCCCGGCGCCATCTGGCTGCGGACACACAACATCTCAAGTGAGCAGAGCCACTCAGCCCAGCCCCAGTCAGCCGGCAGAACCAGGAGAAAGAGTAAAAGGGTTGGTGTTTCTAGGCATGACATTTTGGGGTGGTTTGTTACACAGCAGTAGATAATAATCAAGACAGATAACTTGAGATACTCCAAAGTACAATTTTAGAATTTTAAAATTAAGTTTGTACACTAGTTGGAATCTCCTTATTTAATTTGTTCAAATCCTCTCTTTTGTAGAGGGATAAACTTCAGCAACTTCTTGTTTGCAACATTTACAAACCACTGTGAACAGTAATGGTAGTTTACTGAGTTTCAAAATGCCGCAGGCTTTGGGTTTTTATTTACTTAATAGGTTTAAAAAAAAAGATTTTCAACTGATTTTGAAAAAAAAATAAAGCCAACATTTAAAGATCTTTCTAATAAAAAAGTTCAAGCCTGGTTGCTGTGTATCAGCTTAGCGTGATTGACAAAATGGTTCTTACTCTTCAAAGAGTCAAATGTTTCTAACATTCAGCTGATGATAACCAGCAAAGAGAGAGTGCGCACTACCAGGAAGAAGTGTTTATTTTTAAACATCAGCTTTCTCACAGAGATTGGGTAGTTCACTTATTCTGTGTATGTATAAAATATTTAAAATTTGACAGCGATAGCTCAGCCTTTGATTGTTAGAATATGGTAGCTTATTTGGATGAAATTATAAATTATGTGTCTGTCACAGCCAGATCCAGGTATATTTCTGCTCCCTAGGTTTCTTTATAAGAACATTGTTTTTATTGTGATGCTACACTCCAACAAAATTTGCATCTGTGTCATCTCTGCAGAATCAGATAATTATGTGTTCAGTGCTCACCTCTTTAACTGAATTCACAGTTGCGGTCACAGTAACGTCAGGTGTTCTGCCTTCAACAAAATAGACCTCAAAACTTTTTTCTTTGATTTAATAAATTAGATTTGAAAAATGAGCCAATATTTGAATTAACTTAACTGACTTTTCTCTTTGAAGAACCCATGACTGATACAAAGTGATAATTTCTAGTTGTTTGTAAATTTCTTCTGGAGCCAACAAACTAATAACTACTACTTTACTTCATATACATACACTTACATACAGTAGGAATTTTGGATGTAAAAACATGCGCTGTTCAGAAAATTTATTTTATCTAAGTGACAAGGCGTGCTTCAGAGTTCTATGTGACTATCTTCTGAGGCTGTGTTTAATTGCCATCTTTAAGCATAGGCTTCTCAGCATAACTGCTAATTTCTGATGCAGATATGAATGCTGGCTAGCAGATTTGGGTTTTAGAGTCAGTGATATCTCTGTAGAGATATCTTGGCATGTGACAAACGTTGAAAAAAAGCATTTTGTGCAAATTATAGATCGTCAACTTTTCCGAGAAATGGAAATTCAGTATTTAATTTTACATTAAATGTACTTTTTTGAGCTCGTTGCTGGTAGATTTTTATTTTTTGCAAAATCAGAAAGCCTAACCCCCAAGACATGGTTTTAGATTTATGGAATATAAAAATGATGCAAACACTGCTTTCAGTTGGCGGTCCTCCAGGAATCTAGAGACGCCTCACACATGTTCCATGGTCGGCTGACCTGCAGGTCCTCACACTTCTCAGGCCATGCTGACTGCTGGCTGACATGCTGCGTCTGGGTCTC